CAGATAATTTGCTCTTATGTGAAAAGCTGAAAGAACTTTTACATAATAATGAAATATGTAAATAGGAAGTAAATTACTGTTTGGATGAATAAAACAACATTAAATGGTTGGTGATATTTCATGAAAATGGTTTAATGCAGTTATTCATACAAAGACAGTAATGGAAATACTTCCTTCAATGTCTATTGATTTCTAGTTTAGAGGCAAAAACTTAGTGTACAGATAACAGAAAAATGAATGATTATTAAAATACAAATATATATAATCTGAAAAAACACGTCAAATGCAATTCCTAGGAATGATTATAAGACGAATAAAAAATAATTAACAAACTTATAATGAAACTATTTAGACTTATCTAACGTAGTTAAAGGAGAAAATGTTTATTATTTTGATTCAGTTAAAAATGTGAACCTTAAAATGGAAAACAGACTGAACAAATAAGTTTTCTATACATTAACTAGATCAATAACGGACGAACGTTGAGGCAGTTCTACTGTACGGAGCTGAAACATAGAGAACCACAACAACCACCATCAAGAAGGTACAAGTATTTATAAATAGCTGTCTACGCAAGATACTCAACACCCATTGGCCGAATACCATCAGCAACAGCCTTTTGTGGGAGAGAACAAACCAACTTCCAGTTGAAGAGGAAATTAGGAAAAGACGATGGAAATGGATAGGACATACATTGCGCAAATCATCAAACTGCATCAAAAGACAAACGCTAACTTGGAATCCTGAAGGAAAGTGGAAAGGAGGAAGGCCAAAGAACACATTAAGTCGGCAATAAAATCAGATATGAAAAGGATAAATAACAACTGGAAAGAGCTGGAAAGGATTGCCCAGGACAGGGCTGGATGAAGAATGCTGGAGAGCGGCCTATGCTCCTTCACGAGGAGTAACAGGCGTAAATAAGTGAGCAAGTAGTCGCAAAATACTTCAGATCCGTTGGCCAGACACTATGAGCGAAAACCTACTGTGGGAGAGAACAAACCAGATTTCAGTGGAGGAAGAAATCAGGAAGAAGCGCTGGAAGTGAATAGGATACACACTGAGGAAAATATCCAACTGCGTCACAAGTCAAGCCACCACATGGAATTATCAAAATTAAAGGAGAAGAGGGAAACCAGAGAACACGCTACTCCGATAAATCGAAACAGATATGAGAAAAATGAACAAAAAATTGGATAGAACTAGAAAAAAAGGTCCATGACAGAATGGGTTGGGGAATGCTGGTTGGCGGCCTATGCTCTATTGGAAGTAACAAGCGTAAGTAAAAAAAGTAAAAATATTAACTAGATGTGAAATGATTCGGATAATGACTAGCTTTTTTTCACTTGGTGGATAGAGATCCATAGAGACCTTGAAAATATATATTCATAACACTAAACAGTTATATTTAAGAATTTGCCTTAATAAATAGATAAGAATAGAATGAAACAAAATGACAATCTGACACATATTGCAACTGAAATCAATCACTTGATGAATCATAAAATGATATATTTTATAAAGAAGATAATTTAAGCATATGACTTATTGTTAACATGAATTTTCTTTTTTTAGAGCATGAATATCTGATCATAATGGTATTTGATTTTATTATTAAAGTATATCAAAGTACAAAAATACAAAAATAATACAGTCATTTTTGTATGCAATACTTTCTTTAATTAATAAAATAAGTTATATATATATTGAAAACAAAACAAAAACAACAGAATAATATTCGTTTACTCATCATATACTAATTCATTTTAAGCAAAGATGGATAGTAGCGAGCAGTGTAATACAGGATGACCGTTTTGACCTATTTGGGACTCGTCAGATGGATGTACCTACATTGCAGAGTTGATGTTCATTCCAAGACTCGAAATCAATACCATTCACTTCAAATGCCATCGCATTGTCCACTTCGCTACTGAGCCTGATAGCCACTTGCTTGTGCAATGAGGTGAAGTTTAAATTCACTTCGTATTGTTTACTTGAATCTTCCCATTGATGTTTAGGACTGCAATTGATCAGTCCCTTATAGACATATGCGCTTACTGTGCGTATTGCCTTGATATTGCCTTAATTTACAGAATGAAAATCAACTCTGAGATGCAGGTACATCCAGGTGACGAGTCCCAAATAGAACGAAACACGCGTCGTAGATCCCACTGTTACCACTATTCATCTTTGCTTATCATGCTTGTGAATGAAGGCAATTTCGAGACAATACGTAGAGTAAGCACATATGTCTACAAGAGACTGATCAATTGCAGTTCTAAAGAACAATGGGAAGATACAAGTAAAACAACATGAAAAGAATTTTTTTACTGATTCATTTGTTTATAAGTATTTATGTACTATATAGTATGATTTTAATAATATAATATAATTAAATAATGGGAAAGTTTTAAAACTTGAGTATGAATTAGTAGTATTATTGTTTAAAAGAAACAATTATGTTATAGTAATACAGTTTTACTAAATGTAAAATCAATAAAAGTGATTTGTGAAAAGTAATAAAATAATCTTGAAACTATTTACTAATTTGATTGAACAAAATAAAAGAATTATAATGAAATAAATTAATAAATGAAATTTTATTTAGTTGATTGAACAAGTTTTAAGGATTATTTTCGTTACAAAATACTAATAAGTATTAGATAGTTATTATTTCCTAGTTTGATACTTTTTAGTAATGAATATTAGTAACTTAGTTGGAAACTGAATTTATAATATTCAAGATTATTTTCAAATTTATCGATTTGTAATATTGAAAAATTTTGAATTAGAACATATCAAATGTGAAACGCTTCTTAGCTTTTACTGATTCTTCTACTGTTATCAGTCAATTGTGAGAACCTTCTTTAAAATAGAACTGTCATTGTGAAGTAGTTTACATCGAAGTTTAGTGTCTATTAGTAAAATTTTCAATTATCTATTGAATAATTCATGTCAGTTCATTCTGTCTATTTCAAGGCACATTAATATTATTTGTAAAATGAAGATGTAACTCACTAGTTGTACTAACCAGACTTTACTTACACTTAGAGAAGTAAGATAAAATCATATAAAGAAATGGCCAATCTGATTTTCATCATACTGATACTTATTGATTTCGAATACTATGCATGAGATTTTGTTTCTTTTTTCTGCTCTTATAACTTTGTTTTTATAAAATTCTGTTTAGTGCATCGATATCAAATGGATTAACCGACTTTTGTGTAAACGGCATTACTATTCATAACTTTAGTATATTTGTGAATAATAATAAAGATTGAAATAGAGTGAATTGATTTTATTCTGTGAATCTTACTGGATGAGACTATAATTTATGGATGACAAGAGCTATACTGAAATGGTGTTGAAAGATTTCAATTACTTATTAGTGTTAAAATAGGATTATAAATTAGTATTAAAAATTCGGATTAGTAGTTATAGTATTCATAAAAAACTGACATCACCTATAATGTTAAAATGTTATTCAGTCGATATGAATAAATGAAATTCATGCGAAAATCTAAGTTTCTCTGTCTTAAATCTGTCTGATTCATCCATTCAACTCTTGCTCAATATCAGAAAATAGAGTCATTTATTTTGGGGAAATATTTTAACGTTAGGAACTCTCAATATTCGACACTAAGCTTACTCGCCTTAGGACTAGTTTAAAAAAATGAAGAGAAGTAAACATCTCAATATAAATGAATTGTGATAATATAGGAATTTTATAATCATTTCCAAGTAAACTACATTCATGATTACACACAGTTGTGTTTCTATTTTTTTCTTATAAGTGAAATAAGACTATTCGATATTATACTATCAGAATTTTTTGCATTAATGTACACGAAAGTCTATCATAGAGACAAATATGACACATCAAACTACCAAACGAAAACAGAACTATTACATCCATTAGAAAAATAATGAATAAAATACAACAGAAAAAAGATCGGTTGAGGTTGGATATTAACATTGTTGGATGCCAATACAGTGGTTAGAGGTTAAGCGTTCGTGCGCGAGACTTAAAGCCCCAGGTTCGAATCCCACGGGCAGGATCGTGGATGCGCATTGCTGAGGAGTCCCACAATAGGACGAAACAGCCTTCCAATGCTTTCAGGTTTTCAATGATGGTCTAACATCAATCGGTTCATGATCTCAATCAAAAACTTAATAATCTCCACAAGCCTGTACTGAGACAAAAGAAACAAAATATTCTTATTCATTATTATTTAGTGTGTATAAGAATAGAATTGTAACTTAATAGGTATTTTTTCTTTGAAAATAATGATTATCTTAATTGAACAACTAGTTTTAGTTACCAAAGGAAAATATTTTATAAAAGTTTATTAAGTTATGTATTTACTATTTACGTTGTTTTTATGTAGCGAAAAAAATTCCGTAATATTTATTAATTTTCTTCCACATATTGTTAAAGATTGTTTGCTGTTTCGCATAACTATTGTACGATAAACACATCTACAATCGAATGACGGGATACTCAGACCAGATATTTTATAGACAGGGTCATTGTGTGGATGTTGACTATACAGTATAAAGATTTATTCAAATTCATACATAAATACACACAATCATAAGTACAGAGTCAATCAATTAATCAATTAATCAATCAATTGTGAGCCTACAAATTCTAGATGCACACACAAACACTTTGCTTTAGAGTAACATTATTGTGCTTTCAAAGTGTTTTGTTAATATTTTACTTGAAACACTATTGTAAACATGTCTGAGTACAAGTCTCATTTAAAAATATTATATATCTACACAATTCTAAACATATTTATGTGTGCTCACGTGCCGTTATCACAATAGAAAAAAACCAAGTAAACAAAACTTAGTCTTTTAAATAGCCAGTTAGTGAGCTTGTAACAGATACACCATCGACCTTGACAATAGTGAATGTGTGTTTATCTGACTTAATTATAAAATATGTAATTGTATTTGTTGTGTCACTATTTATCTTGGTTTCAAAGTTTATGTGTGTATATTTGTAATTGTGCATATATGTGTACGTATATAAATGTTTACTTTCTGTGAGCACTCACCTATGAGTATGAAACATATTGAAAATCCTTAAAAACGACTCATACTAAAAAATTATCAAGTGTTGTGGTATATTTCTTGGCAGGAACGAACATTTATTTCTCTACAATTAATATTACAGCGTATAATAGACAAATACACATTTTGTGCATTATATCTTAGTCTATAACATAAACGTATATACATATACTAAATATAATACCATTTAAACATTGATAAACTGGACTATTATTTATTTAATATATTGTAAAATATTTATTATACTATTTAATATTCAACGAAATAATTCAATTTTCAAGAAAATCAGCTCATCATGAATGAATCTTTTGATGATCAAGTGAGTTTCACTTTTCAAAGACTGTTTAACCATATACATTAAAGTTTATTGATTAGATTGAATTTTTTTTATCATAATTGTAAGTAACTGATTATTTTGCAGGTAGTTTCATTTCATAACTCAACTAAACTCAGAAACAGAACCTTTTAGAAACAAGGATTGGTTATAAGCTATTCAATTCATGTTTATGACTGTTCTTTAGTGTTAAATCATAATATCTAGGGTAAATCAATCAAAGTGATTCAATTCATTGTATAACAGCTCTAATTTTAATATCTAAATTTCCGGTTACTTTACCGCTGCACAAATTTTTCCAATTTCCTCAAGATTATGATGATAACATATATTCATCTGTTATTAACATTGTTTGTCTGATGTTTTGTTATAATTGATTTATAAATGAAGTGATATTCTGGTTGCACAGATGAAAATCGATAGACAGGTTTTCCAACCTCTATTGTGACAATGAAATGTTGAGTTAAAATAATCACTTCGATATCATACCTAATAAATAAAACTATGAGATGTTTTTTGAGTGATTCATTAAAAATATTTATAATACGAGGTCGTTCTCAACAGAAGATCCATTTTCACAACTTTGGGGTAAGATAGATATCATCATTTGTACTGAGTGACAGTTTCTCTATATTGGCAACTGATTAGAGTTGGAAGTGTAAGTAATTGAATTATAGCCTGTAGGACTGTAAGTGTTAGATAGATTACGTCCCATGTAGTGTCATGTGTGCTCCTCAGAGTGAATTCGTAAACCTAGACAAAAGATCTGTTCAATCCAAGTAGATCTTTAGTTGATACCAGTTTGTAATAAAAAATAACCATCAAAAATATATTTCATCATTCCTTCATTATATATAAAATTTGATTTCGTGAGCAGTGAATAGCATCAACATATTAAGTGATTGTATGGAGTCAATAAGAAAACAAATGCAATTAGGAATAATTTTTGCGCACTATTATGAGTGAGGATTTTCATATGATGTTAAATAAATATTTGTTTCTTCTAAATCTACAACCAGTTTATTTGAGTTCTAGAGACGTTACATTTAAATTATTCACCTGTTCCCTGAAAGTTTAAATACATAATAATTATAAATAGTGATGTTTAAATAGCACCATGATGAACGCTATTTATCCCAATATGGAAACAACGTTTTATATTACATGAAGCAAAACATGTTTGTAGTACGTAAACGTTGTTCAGTGCCAACCTATTCAATTCCATACACAACACTAAAAGTCATACATTTAATTTGTCAACATTGTTTAACTTTCGAAAGATTTTTGATGTAATTATTATCCAGTATCATTAGCAAGTAACTGCATCACTTACAGTTCTAATGAACACCAAGCTTAGTCAAGAGTTAACAGAATTTTTCAAATAAGAACGATGCTCATTGTAAAACGAAAAGTTTTAGGATTTAATGTTGTTTGGTTTCGTCGGGTCGACACTAATGAACACTCCTAAACTAGAGTACACTAACTGTTCATTCCTTCATGGTTTTCAATGAAATTTTATCGGTTTCAATAAACTCGTGTTGAAAATTACCTTTAAAATATTCATAAACTCTATGAAATTATTTAATTTATTTAATATCGGATTTACAGGGATATGAAACCCATTTTATCTGTTCATAATTTACCATGACATGGGATAGTGAATGTATAATGTTTAATCATAAAACTGGTTTATTTGTTTAAAACTATTCCAGTGTATTGAAATGGGACTAGAATTACGAGTCAGTTAATAAGTAACTCAGCCTTTATGTTTTCTCTAACAAATTTTGACTAGAGAGAATCACTGTGTAAATACAACTTTAAACAATCAAGCAATAAGATGGTATTAATATCATTTTGATAAGTTAGTTTTTAGTCATATAAAACTGAATCCATTTGCAACGTAAGGATACATATTCAGTTAAAAGACTTGAAATGGTTTAAATACTGTCATGTAACCGGATAGATTATGTAAACTAACAGAATTATGAGTCTTTTTCAATTTTTTTAAAACTGCATGCACATTTATTTATTTATGGCTTTATTCAATATTATATTTTGGTACAATATAGAATTCTCAGCACAAAAATATTTCAACAAGTTTCTTTTACAGAAAAAAAGGTTGATAATAAAAAAAATCTGAAAAAACTGTACAAACTTTCAATTAGAGTCATGTTAAGAATGCAGATTAGTGACTAGGTTAATTCTAACAACTTGTTCGTCACAGAGTATATTTTCTAGGTAAGGTATTATAGAACGTTTATACTTTTGCTTGCGTGCTTGGATTTTAATGTAATTTCGTCTCGTTCTACCAGAAGATATACAAGGAGAAAGATATGAGTGAAGGGGATGATAAAATAACACCTGCCAGGAGTTTGCATGACTTTAGATGTCTATCCACAACCATATTAATTATGGTCTCGAAAGATTCACCACATACCTTGCTAAATGTCTTCAGCACTCTCCGCAGTACAGAAAAGTCTTTTCTCAAAAGCCCGGGAAAGAGTAATGGAGAACAGTAAAGAATAATAGGTAATATGCAATAATTGACAAATTGTAAGAGTAAATGACGAGTGATCCCAAGAGCATGCAATCTCTTAATGTAGTAAGTCAGACGGAAAACCTTCTTCGATAACAATGAAACGTGAGAAGACCAAGAGAGATCAGAGGAAAAGGTAACACCAAGATAATTGACCGTCGACACTGTGTTTATCAAAGAGTCGCCAATGGCACAAGCATTATGAGATCTTAAAAAGGTGTTTAAATGCCGATCATGTCTCATGCTAAAGTTAACAGCTTGACATTTAGACGGACTAAGTATGAGACCATTAACAACAGACCAACAATCAATACGAAACAAAAACTCATTCATTTCTACAGGATGTAAAGAGGAAGAGATAGGCATACATACAGTGATATCATCTGCATATTTCAAAAAAGTGTTTACTGTGGAAGATGGCAGATCATGCGGAAAAAAGAGAAAAAAATAGGTGAAAGAATAGCTCCTTATGGTACACCTTCATAAGACAGTAGAGACTCTGAACACTCTGTACTGTTCCCTTCCAGAGAAGTAGGAACAGCCAGTTGGTTACTCAGCTGTCAGTGTTGACGCTGATTAACTTGTTTAGTAATCGTTGTCTTGATATAGAATCAAAAGCAGAAGTATAGTTCAGGAAAGCGCATCGAACATACTTCTTACCCTTTTCTAGGTTGAACACTATATTATGATTCAGAACAGCAACAGCATCTAAGGTGCTTCTTTTGCATTTGTAAGCAAACTGATACTGGTCAATGTGCTCTTTTATCGCAGGCTGAAGTGAAAGTGTCAATAATTTTTCCATTGTTTTGAGGAAGGATGAAGTTATTGAAATGGGTCTGAATTTCACATTCTTATCACCAGATGCTTTCTTAGGTATGGGGATTATCTTCATCTTTCTCCACATTTTCGGTATGAAATTAGAAGAGAAGGATCTATTAAAGATAGTAGTGAATGGATAGCATAGGACGTCAGCACACTTTTTAAAAAGGAGGTTAGGGATACCATCAGGTCTCAAACATTTTCGGACATCAGTTTCGGTGAAACTAGGAACACAGCTATTTTTTTAAACCGGGAGCATCACATCAGATGACTGACGTACAAAAGACTTATTTAAGTCACAAACATCCAGTTGGTTATCGGTCCTAATCTGTTTTTCACCTGTAAGTTCAGTAAAGAGTTTCCACATACTTGAAGAGTTTTTACAAGACAAGAGTTTTTGAGCAAACATAGTGTTGAGACGACTAATCTCGAGGTTTATCAGACCATTTAGCTTACGAACTTCACTAGAGTTTTTCTCCTTGTATATTCTTTCTTTCACCCTCCGTAGTTGTTTTAGTTGTGAAGATTTAAATCGATCAAAACTTACAAAAATAGTTTCAATGGAACAACAAATATCAAAACAGAATTTAAGGTAACAAGTGATAACATCAGAAGTGAGTTCCAGTGAGTCATCTGTAAATAATTCCCAGTTAGTTGTATGAAACATGTTTTGCAGATTTCGGATATTTTCTTCTGAGTAATTCCTATATTTGACTTTCTTAGTTTGATTTAAGAGTGTACTCTTCCCATGCTTTCCATATACTTTAGGTAAAACACGAATTATACAGTGATCTGAGCTAGACAATGGGGCACGTTTACGAGTCACATTTATACGTACATCATTAATGAAAACAAAGTCTAAATGAGCATCCAACCGAGTAAGAAAATTTACTACATTTTGGTGACCTAGCGATGTAAGGAAGCTACAGTCACATGAATTGAAATCACCACATACAACTGAAAGTGAATCATTGAAGGCAGTAACGGCGAATTCATCAGCGAATACAGATAGCGCAGATGATGTGCAGTCTGGGGTCACATAGATATTGGTAACATAAACATATTTGTATTTATTCAGATGTTTTGGACGGCATCTTAGAGTTAGACAGTCGATAAAGTCATTTGAAAACTTGAAACACTCAAACGTAGATCGACACCAGTTCACATTTACAAAAGTAGCTACACCGCCGCCACACCTCTTTTATCGTTTGATCGATCCAGACAATAAATTTTGAAATCACGTAGAGATACTAGGAAGTCGTCCTGTAAATCGTTTAACCAAGATTCTTGAATTGTGATGACACCACAATTGCGATACATATTTTGACTTAGTAGGAATTGAAGATAGTCTATCTTGTTAATTAATGATCGGCAGTTAGAATTTAGCAACTCGGGAATCGACATACGATTAATGTTCATTTTCTTCAACGCATATCGGCAACCACCACGATGTCTTCTATTGTAGTTTTTTGTAACTTGTGCAGCGAAAGATCGTAGGCTTTTCATAAACGCGCCTGTATATGTTATGCGATTAATGGACATAATGAGACGTTAAAACAAAATGAAAAACAGATAACTTGTTGAAATAACTAGATGGCAGAAACAGGTAGCCCAGATATTCAAGCAGGCCGCCGTATATATAAATCTATTGCCTTATAAAATAAAATATTGTAATATGTTTGTAATGAGGTGTATTTACTCATAATGATAAACTGTGAAGCTTAAAAAGTAAGAAGTAAATAGTACTGAAGTTTGATATTTATACTGACTATGTATTGATGGTGTTTTAGTAGTAACTCTGGCATTGATTGTAGGCAATAGTATTAATTATTCTTTTTTCTACGAAGACATCAGCAATAATGCTATATAATGAAGACTGTTTTAAAATGGGAATAAAATTAGTGATTCTCATAGCGTTTTTAGTTATCACACTTTCATTACTTCGCATTCAGGACATGAATTTTGTAGCTTAATCAATGAATTTGAATAAGGTTACTATATTATACTTTCTCTTCATTCTTATGAATTAAAAAAGTTGTAAAAATACCAAAAATACCTTTGTTTAATATCAGAAGAACGATTTCGTATACAATTTACAACTCAAAATTATCATCACAATTTCACCTTTCCATTCAATCCCATTTATATGATTTGGCATCCTTTAATTAGCTTAACAAAACAATAGCAGAAATGTCATAAAAATAAACCAAACTTTTTAAGTATCACACCAAAACAATGCAATTTAACTAAATAACTTAATTATACAATTATTAACAACTATTTTTACATAGCTATATACAGTTTTCAATTGATAAACCCCATCATTACAAAACGATTGATAAATACGAAAAAACCCACTTAACATAATAGATAATATATGGGGTTTATAAACGTTTTGTGTGTTATTAGATATATGTTATTCAGACTACGTTGTGAGTGGAGATAAATTTAAGTCACCCCCAAACATCGCACATCAAAATATAGTGCATGCAAAAACACATCATTTGGACCAGTTACCACATTAAAACCCAATAATAATATTTGATCAAGCTTAATGACTAGATAGAAATGTCACTGGTAAATACTTTGTGATCTTATTGGTAAATACTTTAGTCCTACAGAATATCAGCTGCTAACCTGATGATATTGTTCCATCAATGACGTTGGTTCGAACCACTTATAGGTGAATAAGCTCCCCCCAGGAGTGGAGATATACCGTGATGCGAAGTACCAACTTGTACTTAGTTTCAGCCAGATGATTTTTACGAAAAATCTCAAACCAACTAATATTCGGGATGCTGTCTAGCATTGGTAACCAGAACCCTCATTTCGTATTATTCTTTCTCTATAGCTATTTACTTGAAGTAAAGCAACATTAAGTCAGTTGTTTCTTTTAAATTCTCAAAATCATTCTTCTGTTTAGTCATGCTTAGTTTGAACACTGATTAATGTTTCAATTTTACTGAATGACAAATTTGGACATTTTTTTATTATCATGATTTATTGTACGGATATGTTATCGATCTAGTTGATTTTAAGCTTAATGATTTATAGACTTAGTTTTAACTTGTCAGTTATGTAATCCAAGGTAACTTTTACTGGTTGAAAATTTTGTAATAAGGATATTTCTTACATTATAAGGTTGCATAGTATTTAGCAAGTAGAAGGTTTTTCTCAAAATTCATTTAAAAGTCTTTACCAGTTTAATCAATAATGCCATATGTTCGTATGGTTATTCATACATCACTTCGTATTCTGATCGCTCTGATAGAACTTGGAAACGTGGACTTTTAGATGCTAGCGCATTAGCTGGACTGCAGTACATTAACTGCAAGATATGTAATATTCTATTCTGCCTTCTGTAAATGTGTGACTGAGCACTGGTAAAACGTTGTATTAATCACCTAACTTAGTGAGTTTGAAATGTCAATCAACCGAGTATAAATTAAATTGGCGTGCAAACTTCTGCTACCATTCAACTATTCTTTCTGAATTTCCAAGCTTTGTCAATAATCTAATCTTTACATTAAATTAATATTAACAATACTTTCCAACGAAATTCACTTAAACTAGTCGCATATGTTCACAAATGATTTCTGAATAAAAATTTATGGTTCGATTAATCGAAGGGCTACCAGTCTATAAAAGAAATGATTTTCCCCTATCATACATTATATGATCAGATTGATTTAAACAAGTTACTAATTAACATCGTATTTAATATAATATCATTATAAAATTAAGAATATGACTTTTGATTGCAAATGAGACAACTACACTTGAATACATTTTCGTCATTTTTTTAAATCTTCGATAACGATTCTTGAAATTTTAAGCTCAGCAGAGAGACATAAGGGAAAGAATACTACTAAACATCTGAACGAACTTAAGCTTTAAACATATAATTAAAAAAATCTCGTATTGATATTGAATTACATGAATAGCATTACTTTGTGACTAAACATCTTTACTCAAATTATATGTTAAGTAACTACAGTTTGCAGTATTAAAACATATATTGTTTTACTCCTTAATTCGTTGTTAATAATTCATGGGGTTGATTTGGATTAAATTATGCTTTCAATAGCCTGACGCTATAGTATATCGTCATCTTGTGTAATAGAAAGTTAACAAACAATGTAAAGTAGTGTTGGGTTTTACTTCATTAATAGAGTAATGGTGATGTATCTGTTCCAAGATTTATTTAATATTCTCTTTGGTATTCTTTTATGAAGTAGATTCAATAGTAGGCCGTCTAAATTATTGTAATTAATGCAATGAACCATGATTTCAATCCATTTAGCAGTTCTTTTGTTTGAAAACTCCCAAATATCAGTTAAACACTGTGAAGAGTTACGCTATTCGCAATCAAAAAGCTATAAGCCAAAACATTTACGAGCATATAAATTATAAACATACTGAAATGAGATTTCACATATCATCCAATAAATTTAAAGTTTGTTTACCAATCTTTCATGAACATTGATTAATCAAAGATGTTCTAATACATTTTTTTGGATTTATTCAGGATACAGAATTCACGTATGAAATACCGGATTGTTTAATGGATGGAGACTATATTGAAATTCATGGAGTTTGTCATGGTAAACGGTAAGTTATACATAAATTATTATTTACAGCCTGACAACATAATATTTTGTTAATATAAAAAAAGTATTTAACTGATCCCCACAGAAAGTTCAAACTAATAATAATGATAAATAATGATCTACTTAAATTACTTGATTTTCAGAATAATTTTATATTAGAGTGATGGTGATTTAATTTGTTAGTAAAAAAACTTGATTGAGGAGTACAGCCTTGAGGATTCGTGTTGCTGATTACTACAACTTACTATTTTCTATGTATTTAAAATATGTTTGCCAAAAATTTGAAAATGCATTAATATTGCATGATTTTCATTATATATTATAAGACAGTAGCTAAATACCAGGAAACCAAATCTAGTTCACATTTATATGCGATGAATTTAGAAATAATAGAATAATAAGCCCAAAATTTTTAAAATGAAGTCAAGTACTTTAAATTATAGTTTTCTGACTATGAGTAATTTGATCTTCTTGATGCCGCATGCTCTAACCTAGGCAGATTCAGTGTCGATTTCGATGACATTATCAGAGTCCATGTTAAGTCAATCGGGCCTATGCTCCATTGGGAGTAACAGGCGTAATTAAGTAAGTAACGTTAAGTAAATTACCAAACGAAAGATTCATAATTAAATCATTTAGCTGTTAAAATAATATTATATCTGTCTTTCATATAAATACACCAATATTGATTCAGTATGATTATCTCAATGAACTATAATTTATTCATGTTGAAATGATTTGGAATAATCAATAAAGAAAGAATTCATTATTCATATGTGTTTGTCTTAAATAACAGTAGAAGGTATCCGGGTAAATATTAATAAGAATCATTTAAAAATTGAAAAGAGATCCCTTTGCTGAACCTAGTGTTTTTAATGTTTTTTTGGAAATTAAATGTTAATCTCTTTCTAATGCGGAAAGTGTGATGATTACATATAGTTAATTGGAGTAAAGTTAACGGAGACACACAAGCCAAGCACATAAAAATCCACATGAATGTAATTAGCAAGGTCACAGATAATATAGGGACAGAAAAATCACATAATACTTGACCAGTTTGAAATAAACCATTAAATGAATAGAGTTGTGAGGACAAAAATAGATTGCATAGAAATATAACAATAACTTCTGCAACCATCAACCACATGACATCTGCTGAACATAGACTCAGTTGAATAGATAAAACCTAAGAAGTAACATATCAAGTAAAGCACGAGCATTTAATGGTACCATTTAAATTACAGAATGTTATCGTTAGTTTTCGATCTTAAATAAACCGTAACGAGTAAACAATTTTTTCCAAGGTATACTTGAAGTCATTTGTTATACAATTAAGTAACTAAAAGAACAAGGAACTAACTAGAAATGGTTGCCAATATTCTGGCTGGCCAGTTGTACATTAGTTTGTGATTTAATTTGAATTTTACATCAATTATATTAATGAGATTAGAAAATTTTATTATATAAAACGTAAAACTATTTACCTTTATTTATAATATTTTAAAAATTAATATTTATTGTTTGAAATTTCTTACAGAATAGTATTTGAATTATTAACAGAAGAGGCATCTACTCAAAATATATTTGATAAATTACCTTTACAAATCATTTTAACAACAGATGGCTTAGTAACCGTAATTAGTCGTAATCCAGAAAAGGTAGCAAAACAAGAACGTTCTGTGGAAAATGGCATACAAATTGATAAAGCTTTCGAATTATGCGTACATGCTTATAAGAAATGTTATATTGTAAGCTAAATAAAAATGAATATTTTATTTTACTAATATTATGCAATATAATATAATATAATATTTTCATTCATTCTAAATACATATTTTTACTAAATGACCTATTATTTTGGATAAATTCAAAATTGCATTTGATATGTATTATGTATGTATAAGGCATAGTGTTTCCATTTCACATACATCCTGCTTCTTAAAGCGTATTCTAAAAAGTGATCCATGGAAATTTCAAATAGAATTATTTCAGCTGTACACAGTTGTAAATATCAAAAATTGTGCTATAAAGATTACATCGATACCATTAAGCTTAAGTCTTGGATTTTATTGATTTTTTTTACTAATACAACATATACACTTATGAATAATATCAAATAATCTATCTAGATATTTATCAGAAAATAAAGGTTATGAATGGTGTTTACTTCCAGCTGGTGACGACTCATTAAGCGGCAAAAACCTTAAGAATTAAAAGCTTCGGTTACGTTTGAAATCCAAGTTAATTTAAAGTGCTTTGTTTCTATGATTACATAGTGTTTAAGCAATGTAAAAACTAAAATAAGAGAAATTTATAGATTTATTTTATATTTTGTCTTTTTAGTTTCATCTAAACCAAGCTTAGGCGTTATTGGAGTACAAAATTAGAAAATTGGCTACTTCTTTCAGAGTTTGACAAACTTATTACTTAAATAATATCACAATGATGAAAACTCCATATCGTTTGTTAACTTATAGTCCATATTTAAAAATTTATATCTTTTGCTGTCAGGCATTGTCATTTAAATATTATTAGGTCACTAAAATGGGTTCGAACATGGAAACCGATACTGAACAATACCACGAATATAATGTTCATGTGTATACGAATAGACCTAAGGATGAAGCGTATGCTGTTAATCTGGAAGATACTTTGTCCCACAATTGGCAGTGGATATTAGCGGGTACTGATGAACTTAGTTACTTACTTACGCCTGTTATCCGTCATGGAGGAGCATAGTCCGCTTACCTACATTCTCCATCCAACTCTTTCCTGGACAATACTTTCCAGTTTCTATTCATTCTTTTCATGTCTGCTTCCCGTTCCCGACGTAGTGTGTTCTTTGAGCTTGTTCTTTTCAGCTTCCCTCATGACTCCAAGTTAGTGCTTGCTTCGTGATGCAGTTTGATTATTTCCTTAATGTGTGTCCTATCTACTTTCAACGTCTCTTCATATTTTCCTCTTCAGCTGGAGGCTGGGTTTTTCTCTCCAACAGTAGACTGTTGTTGATGGCATCTTACGTATTCAATTGTTGGTAAACATTGTGCATCTCAGCTCTATACAGTACAATTGTCTAAACATTCGTACTGGAGATTATCACTTCGATAGTAATTGACAGTTGTTTTAAGTCCCATATGTTCTTCAACTTTAGGAATGCGGCCGTCACTTTGCCAATCTTCGCCTTTACGTTTGAATCGGATCCTCATTGTTCGTCGATGATGCTTCTCAGGTACGTGAAATACTCCACATCTTCCAAAGCTTCTCTACCAAGTGTGATTATATTGGTGTTCTCCGTGTTGTACTTGGGAATCTTGCTTTTACCCCTGTGTATGTTGAGGCCTTCTGATGCAGAGGCTGCCGCTACACTAGTTATCTTCATCTGCATTTGTTGATGTGTATGGTATAGATGTGCTAGGTTACTTTTGAAGTCCAAGCTGTCCATTGTATTCTGTACTTCTCATGAGTAGTGGAGGTCTTCATAATACAGTCGACCACTAGAAGGAAAAGATAGGGGGAGAGTAGGTAGCCTTTTGTGACTCCAGTTTTTACTTGGAATGCATCTGTCAGTTGTCCTTTATGCACCACTTTGCAGTGTAGTCCATCCTAAGAATCGCGTACGCAGTTAACGATCTTTTCAGATGTATCATAGTGTCAAAGGTTTCATAATGTTCTCCTTTCCGCAATGTCAACTGCTTTCTCATAATCAAGGACGTTGATGTTTGGTGATGAGTCCTACTCAACTGATTGTTCAACAATGATCCAGTTGTCCTCCATATTAGTTTCTTCCTCATGGAGTAGATCTTATAAAGTCTGGATCCAGTTACTGAGAACTATCTCGAATTAATCGAGTATGTCAGTGTCTTGAAGAAAAACTGTATTAAACGTACGTAGTACTGCTTGTTCAATTGTCCAGTGTTTCTTTAGCTTGATTTTGTTCTTAACCGCAACCAGGTGGCAATCTGAAGCTATGTCAACTCCTCGACTGGTTCTCACATTTTCCACTGTCTTTCTGAATTTTGTATTAATACAAATATGATCTATCTGGTTCTCCGTGGTGTGATCCAGTGAGACTCATGTAGTTTTATAAATGCGTTTATGTGTGAATATTGTGTTGCCCATAACCGGTTCTTTGAATGCACATAGGTTTGCGAATCTCTCCCCATTTTTGTTTCTCTCTCAAAGTCCATGTCGTTCCATGATATCTTCATATCCGGTGTTGTCCATTCCGTCTTTGGCGTTTAGGTTTCCCATCAGGATTTTTCAGGTTTTTTCCTAGGCGCTTTGCTATGATCGATCTCAGCCTCTCGTAGCATTGATCATTATGGTTTTCATTTCTATTATTGGTGGGTACATAACACTAGATAACATACATTGTAACTCTCTCTCTCCTTGTTTTAGAGAATGCTTTGATGATCCTAGATTCAGGAGATGCATTTTTTGCACCTCTGAACAGTATCAGACAAACTCCTCGAGTGTGTGAAGCATTTCCTCTTCATGACCCGAATAGAGCAGCATCTCTCCCGTATCTAGCCTTTTTTGTCCATCTTGGGTCCAATGAGTTTCGCTGATTCAGGGTACTACTAAGTTGTATCTCCTTTTTCTGTTGCTATTCGACTGGTCCTCTCAATCTTCCACATTGTCTGAACGTTCCATATATCTTTATTAATTGTTGATCTGGTTGTTAGAAGGGCCATCAGCCTCGTAACTTCCGAAGAATCTCAGCTTTCATCATGAGGCGTCATAATTCTTCCTTCAACTCCCGGGGAAGAGTTAAATTGTTTATTCTGGTTAACGTTTTTTTAGCAAGGTCGTTTTCTACCGGATGGAGTTGCCGACCCCATGCCCAACCCTTCTTTACCTGGGCATGGGATCAGCATTAGCCTTAGAAGAGCAGAATGTGAAGTTAAAATAATGGAACGCTTCACGATTTCGCGTGTTATTCTTGAGCAGGAGCTATGCTGATCTTCTGTATCATTCCAATTTTAGTATATGTACCGCCAAAGCGAGTACTGCTGAAGTTGTGAACTAAATCTAAACAGCTGTCTAATTCTGCCTGTACATGGGGATTTCTTTGATGATGTTATTTTTTACCACAAGCAACAATCACCTAAACTAAAATAATCTGTGTTTATAAACAATATATTTTGTATTTTTTACGGGAACTGTCAGAAATACTAATTATAGAACAAATCTTTTTTGTTTCCTAAGATGTGTTGCCTCCAGTATATATAAATCGTAGAGATACAATTTTCACTACAGTTCTTTAAACGGAGAAACATGTCAACTTTATCAATTATCTAATAAATAATATCTTTTACCTATATAGATCAAGGGCGTACATACGTTCTCACATATCATTGTAGCCTTGGTAACATAGTGCTTGTTTACTAAAAAAGAATTCATGTATGAAATGATTTTCTTCAGACAGCTTTACTGTCCATTTATCTAATCACCTTACAACCTGCCATTTTATTTTTGTTTTATCTAAACATATTATTTATCCATTCCACTAATCTTATGTCATTAATCGATGAATTGATATATTTTTCCATGACTGACGGATATCAATTGGGATAAGCTAACATTTTTGCTTTCATATTTTGCACAAACTTGATAACACGTTGTTATAAGATCATAACTAGTGCTAAATAACTTTTTTGTACCTCATGGTGATCATTTATCTTTGAATTGTGTCAGCCAACAACAAAATAAAAAAAGAAACATAACTAACTAAATACAAACTATTTTCAATGATTATTTCACAATTCATAATCAAATATAAGTATCATTTTTCTTCTGATCATCATATAACTATTCGGTTATGGAGTCAAATCATTTTCCTTTGTCCATTTTAAAAATACATTTCGCCATACACAAATGTCCGAGATTTATTTGCTTTATTATTGTAATTGTTAACTACAGTGTACAAAAGTTTTTTTTTTTGAAAATGTGAAACGATATATATATATATATATATATATATATATATATATATATATATTAAACTATTGCGGATACTATGGTTGTGATATCCTTATATCTTAAGTAAAATAAGAAAGTTTCATGTGAATTTATTGTATGATAACTTTCATAATCATATTCATTTTAATGGTTTAACAGTCAGCAATACAAATGTTGAGTAAGAACTAAGGCTGAATTTCCATTAATAATTAATCTGACAATTGATCCAAATCGATTGTTGTAATGTTTCAGGATGTAACTTTAAAATCGTGATCGCTTAAAAACAATAAAAAGATGTGTTTAACATTCAGTTTTCTAGCAAGAAGTAATATGTAATACTTGTTCTATAACTAGTTATCAACTATATTCTATGGCTAAATTTTAAAATCTAGACTTTAATCCCTGATCCAGATTCCCAGTTATCAAATCCTTTAAATTGGGCAATAATTGACATAATTAAGAATATATGCTATGGTTCATGCATCCTTCTGCATTAAAATTGTCTAAATTTTCAAACGAACTTTATGGTATATGTCGTAAACTCATCAATCCTTTACTGTGTAGTGAAGATAATAGTCAATATCTACAGTTTTAAAATTTATAAAGAACATATAGAATTAATTATATCACCCCGGAAAAAAGGAAATATGATAACTGAACTTGAAAGATATATCTATATATTTCAACTGAAATTTCACTATTAATTTTCAAATCATTCAACTTTTCTTGTCCTGTTCTTATTCTTTCTCTCGTTCTATAGGTTAAATTAAACGGGGAGGACGTTTGTGGTCAAGATCATCTTGTACCATTGAATGAAGCGTTTGCTTTATCAATGCAAGGAAAAGTTGATATATTATCCCTTGAATTTAAAGACATGTATTATGATGAAGAGGAAATGAATAATAATACAAACATGTCTTCTGCTAACAATAACAGTAATAGCATTAGAATGGATGATGCTCAAGCAGGCTTTGTACGTGTCAATGAGTTAAGACAAAGTTCCATACGCAGGAATGATCCGCCAGTAATGGTACCAACAAGAACAGGTTCCAAATTGGAGAAACAATCAATAAAAAGTAAAGATAGTAATCTAGAAGTTACTGCTTGGAAAACGTCAAATGATTTATCTAAAGCATATTTAGACGTTGATTACAAAGTATCTACATTAGATCGAAATTCTGCAGCCCATTCATATCGTAATAGTATTGATTTTAGTCACAATTCAGACTCAAGAATCTCTGGAACATTACCACCTCTAGGCAAGTCAGCTAATGACAGAGTATCAGATTACGTAATGGGAAGTCGAGGTAACCTTAATACGAATGATACGTCACATATAAAATCGAAAACATCTATTTTTGGTTCTCGAAAATCTGCTACCTTAAGTAATAGTAAAATTGAACAACGTTTTAACGAAGGCAGAAGTCAGACAGATGCAGGCGATTTACACCATGGAAGCTATTCTGTATTGGATGACGAAGATCACATAGGATCTCAACTTTCTGCTACAACATCAACACCTAACTTGCAAGACAAACATAAGAAAAAACGATTCAGTTTACTTGGAAAGAACAGAAAATCAACAGGCTCTGAGTCAGATGTACGTAATGACTCTAAGAAATCCAAAGGATCTACTCCAGACATAAGGTCGAAAGATGGCGAAGGCGAGAAAAAGAAGAAGGGTTTACATTTAAAAAATCCTTTTAAACGTTCGAAAACTAAAGGTACAGTCAGTATGACCATAGCTAGATTAGTCAAATAAAGTTACTGTGGATGAAGGGAATTTCACAGTGTTAATACGTACTATCGACTATTATCTCAGCTTTATCGCTCAATCCTTCTTCTCTAACTAACTTATAATATATACCAATTAAATAAGTACATTCCACATTTGATAAAGCAATAAAAAACATGTAAAAGTCATTAGAATGACAATTAGCATAAAATTGTCTTGTCAATTTGCCAAACACTGACAATAAATTTGGCTTACTTCAGATGAAAACTAGACGAATAAAGAGTAAATTATGATTATAACTAACTGAGAGCATTGCTAAACTATCTGATGGGAGCAACATTTAGAAGCTAATGTGTGTAACTAGAGTTTTCTGAATATTTCCAACGTCGAAACATTTCCCGAATAAGGTTTTTTCTCTGTTCATGAAGCGTATAGCAGCTGATATAAGATCCCATTTCAACTGGTTTTTAATAAAATGTGCATACGTTTGTTGTGAAAAGACCCGAGTACTATTTGTCTTCAATGGAGTCACAGTTTTGTTTTCTTGATCTCTCTAAAGTGTTTGAAAGTTCGAAAAAGGGGTTATTAGCTAACATATCCGTTCACAGAACAGTGTAGTTGAAAACATCAGTTTTAATTCGATTCTTCACCATACAATCATTTATAGGTTATACGGTTTAGTCGATCTCATGATTTTTAATATTATTCGTTCATCGAGATTTAAATTTAATCATTTCAGTAGTTTGATATGCTATAAAAATCCGATCCCTTTTTGTAATAAACACCATGATTTTTGTACAAACCATTCTTAGTGGTACAAACATCTTTATTTAGAAAATCCAGTTATTATCCATAGTAGTTTCTAGCCAATTAATTTTCAGGGGCAACTGTTAATTAAACAGATAACCTGATTCATCACAGTGGCAAATCTGGAATTCTGTATGTTTTTTAATGTAAATGTACTAAGTATAAGGTTTATAAATACATGTTTCCAGCACGAAACCATTATTCTTAGCTTTCTCCACTCAGTTTATTCTAGGTCAGATAAATGAAACGGATTTAAGGTTTTAAAATTTTGTACCTTTGAATTATAATACTAAATTTTCTGAAATCTACTAGCTTGATAATAATAATATCCCTAATGTTGTCTAACCCCTAGGAGGATTACTAAAGTCCTTATGAGAAGCTGTGATTAATAGGGTTTAACTATAGGGATGGAAAGACAATATGAAGATATCATCAACCATGTAGTGATTTACGTTGAAAATGTAGACCACTAAATTGTGACATGGTAGCATGAATATGACATATTATAAAATCAGTAGATCTTGGCTTTAATCTTGTTTCAGGTCATGTGTGAGAAATTTTGAGGAGTCCTAAACTATACCACACTCATTTTCGAATGATACTGATATGGGTTCACTAAAAAAATCGAAATTAAATTATTCAGTCTAACAGAAGAAATATAACTACCAATGTAGGTATCATTACCAAGGTTTGAATTGATGATTTCAAATAGATTGAGCATTGTGTAGATTGTTATAAGTAAAAATAATGTATTTGTAATATGCCAACGAGTAGAAAAATTGTATTTCTGACGTTTCGTGACTTAATGTAAGCCAGTTCTTCAGAGTAAATAAATAACCGACATTAAATTAACACAAGTTTAATGTCGGTTATTTATTTACTCTGAAGAACTGGCTTACATTAAGTCACGAAACGTCAGAAATACAATTTTTCTACTCGTTGTCATATTACAAATACATTATTTTTACTTATAACAATCTACACAATGTTCAATCTATTTGAAATTATCAAATCCAACCTTGGTATAGATATCTATGTTTGAAACAATCTTGAATTAACTAGTATAAGCTGTTAACCATTAACTAAACAAATAGAGGACAATTCCTATCAAATATATTTAATTGTTCATTCAGAACACTTCTTTGTAAGAATCAGATTATTTTTTATGGTAATTTTGTATAAGTTTTTTTAGGACCTAAACAATCATTGGAGAATAAATAAAACGTTGGGTAAAAATACTGTAGGTTCCTTTCCTTGAACATTTTAATTTTAAACCAATATTAAATCTGTAAAAACGTAAATTATTTAAGTCTACTTTTGAGAAATAAAGTATGATGGCTATTGAAATTTTGTTCTGAAAATTTTGTTCAGTACAATTCATTGTTGTCAACTGACCATTTTTCATGTTTTGACGATTTCAGATCTAACACCTTCATCAGATCTTGCTTTTACTAGGAGCACTATTAATCCGGCAATTAATGTAGCTGTCACTGAACGATTACCGAAAGAAATGTCTAAAAAACCAGCACCTGAAATTGCGGCTTATCTTCATAAGTCCAATCCATCGGCTGAATTTGATACACTCAATTTAACTGGTCGTGAAACACTGTGTGAAGATACTCATTTTGCACCTTTTGATAGGAAACATTATGATGGATATGAAAATGTTGGTGGTACTTATGATCCATTCAAACACAAGACGTTGGGTGACCCAAGAAAATCCATTGAGATTTCATCTCTAAGTGATTTGCACTCACAAGGTAAACTTAAAGGACCAGCTCCAGAATTAGCAGCTTTAATTCACTCGAGGCATCCTACTTCAAATCTAGAAGATATAACGATTGCTCAAGGTTCAGGCTCACATATAAGACCATTCACACCAACAGACCAATCACCGAAGCCACCAAGACATCATAATGAATCTCTCTCTGATATTGCAAATTTAAAATTAAAAGGTACAGCTCCTGAAATAGCGGCGATAATACACTCAAGAACTAAAAGTCCTAACCATGAAGATATAACTCTTACTCAGAGCTGTGGTCAAAACTTCGTTCCGTATCCTACGGTAGATACGTCAGGAAAAAAACCTTTTAAGCCGAGTGGAAGTGCATCAGAGATAGCTGCCGATATACACAAAAATAATTTAGCAGACCATCTACCTTATGCAGATTATACCTTAACTGGTACTAATAACAATGAAATACAAGGAATAAAATATGGACTAAAAGAAAAAGTGCAATCTTCACGTAAAGCTCTTTCTTTGAGTGAACATATATCAGATGGTGAGGAAACAGAGAGTGGAGGCAGTGAAGTGTATACTGACAATGAATGTTACTTAGAAGTAGGTAAAAGTGAATATTATTTTGATCGTAAACGTTCCCTGAGAAATTATCGTTCTAAACGATCGACGAAATTGGAACGTGAAGCTAGACGTAATATGGGGTTAAATAGAAATGACAGTCAAGAATCAGTTAGTAGCAGTATCTCATCGCTTAAACCAACTGATCGAAAATTGACCCCAAAATATAGAAAACGTCCAGGTACTAAAAAGGAAGAAGTTTCATCTTGGTTGAACAGCTCTAATTCACGTAAGGAGATTTTTTCCACTTCCTATTTACCCTTAAGTTCATGTAACACTAATCTTTGTGAAATATTTTCAATAATAAAAACTATCATTTAGACTTCTGAATAAGTTATAAGCTGCGAAACTCTGAGGGTTATTTATATTGAAACGTAATATCCAAGGTACCAATAACCTATATGTAGAATAATTAATAAATAAATGTACCTGTATCCGATGATTTTTGCTGCTTTTTCTAAGGATCAAACCATACCTTTTAAGCTATTCAGTATCTAACTACTGCCACAGGTTCACTGACTGTAAGGGTTGGAATTTTCACTATTTTAAATGAAAATTGCATATTGAAATAATAACTGTAGAAGTTGTAGATTTATACATAAACTAATTAAAATCTAGTAAAAAAGAGGTACTTTTATCCAGTTTCTGCTTCGTTAGAGAAATTATGGCTTCTATGAAGCAGTCAAAAACCGATTATTTTAAGAGTAATTATCCTTTCCGATTATACGGTTTAGTTATCCGAATGATCTGTTTGAATGTACATGTGAAGATACGAGCAAAATAATACCAAGTGAATTTAATTTCAACCCATTGTACAAGCGAACGACTGTCATGACTCAGTAGCTAAGTGGATAATGCGATAGTGTTTGGAGCGAATAGAACTGAGTTCGAGTCCCAGAGTGAACATCAACTCTGCGATGCAAGTACATCTAGCTGACAAGTCCCAAATAGGAAGAAACGCACATCTTGGATTCTACTGATACCAGTATCCATCTTCGCTTGTACATGCTTTAGTTTCAAAAATCACAGATATTGGAAACTAAAGTACGAGGTGTTTTACCTACCGCTTTTTATCTTCCATAGAAAAGGTTTATAAATCGACCAATGTCGTACGTTAGTAATAGTCATATAGTACATGTTGAATGTACTAAATACTTATGCGGTTAATATTTCATCATTTTAACTTCACAGTTATATTAGGACTAAGCTGTGTCAATGTTTTTGAAGCAGTTAAATACAAATATTTGTAAACCTACATCTTTTGTAACAGAGCTACATTGGAGATAATAATTGTCACGTTTCTTGCCTTCAATAACCAAGTTGTCTAACACATTGTTCATCACTAAGTACTTTGAAAGGCTTCTTTAAAGTGGTATATAGATATATTACAGAAAAAGTATGTACTTTATGTACGTAAAAATATCAAAAGACAATGACAACCGATTTATATATTATTGATGTTTATCATTTGTACAACAAGTAATCTTCACAATTAAATTAAATTAAATTTTACCAATCTTAGTAAGACTACACAGGTATATACAACACTAATTTTCTTTACATTTCTTGTAGCCTATAATCCAATCCGTATAGATGGGAATGTATATCCGAGTTATACATCAAATGTTTACGCTTCAGCTCCTATCATTCATAAACCTTTAATTCAAAACTATTTATTAAAAGATATTATTCAGGTTAGTCTACTAAAATAATTTAACATTAATTATAAACATGAGTCAATTAAAGCTACACCACCGTGGAAAACCTGCAAGCACTGGATGGCCATTTCGTCATATTGTGAGACTTCTGGGACTCCCGCCTCGCGAGTTTTGAACCCAGAACATATCAGTCTCGCGCGTGAGAGCTTAACCACTAGACCACCGAGCCGGCATCCAACAGTGTTAATGTCTAACTTCAACCAATCCAGTGGTCTAGTGGTTAAGCGCTTGCGCATAAAACTGATAGGCCCTGGGTTCGAAACTCGTTAGGCGGGATCGTGGATGAGCACCACAGTGGAGTCTCACAATAGGACGAAACGGCCGCCCAGTGCTTCCATGTTTTCCATGGTGGTCTAGCTTCACTTGGCTCATAATCTCAACCATTGGAGTTACTATAATATCCACAAAAAACCCTTCTGATAATAATTATAATCATTTAAAATGATCGAGTATAGTGACATGAATAGTTTATTTTAAAAAATATTTCTAAGAAAATTCATCAAAGAATGTATTACAACAATAATCTTAATAAAGTTATCTAACATGTATAGTAATTAATGAATTAAGCATTATAAATAAAATACCGTTGTTGTTTTATCTTAATTAGTCTACATAGTGTCCTAATGTGTTACAGTTTCTCATCTCAGATCTTTATTAACCCAGATTATATTCTTCTATGATAATGTTTTTCTTATTATTATTTGGCGTGTTGGTCATAATTTTTAGAAAAATTAAATTACATTTAATTTGAGATTTTTATTTGATATAGATAGAATTACCGTTTTTGTATATGAACTACATTGTGGGTCAATTTGAACTTCATATCTTACTTCATATATATATATATATATATATATATATATATATATATCAAACCTTCATTTTGCTAAATCATTATATATGTACATTATTGTTTATTAAGTAATTTTGTATTATATTGAAGGATTAGCATTAACAGTTCAGCTAAAATGAATTTAAAAGCATATCAGTTTTCAGACACAAATCTAGTCGAAAAATGTTCCAATATAATAATGTTTGTTATATTAGATAGAATTATATCGTACCGCTTATAATTGTTTTTCGTACTTACAAAAATTTATTATATAACTCATTTTGGTTGATTACATAATACAAATGGTAGTGAGTCAATGGGTTTTTTTTTCATAAATACAACATAATTCAATTCATTTATGATGTTAATTCATATAATATTGATTTTTAAATACTTTTGGCAAAGAAATAGTTTACTATGAATCTATCAACGTTTTATGATAACCAATGCAACACTATAGTAGTTTCATCAGGAAAGTAATACACATATACATTTTTGAAATGTTTTACTTTAATGTATGATAAAAAGGTTTATTTTTTCATCTTTGTGATTAGAATCATGCTTTTATTTTAACTCATTGTTTTATTCAAGTCAATAAAATGTGACATCAGTATGGATTTACCACATCCTCTAACAATTGGACGAAGTGCATTAATTTATGGTCATTTCAAGTACAATTCAGCTGTACGCCAATCCTGTTTAATAAAACTTGAGTTTAACACCTGTGAAGAAGCTAATGAATGTGAAACACTTTATCTTCGATTATGGTCTGATGGTGGTCTAGATATTTTGAATAGCCAATCTATTAATAGCAAAGTTCCATACAATTCTTCAAATGATATTCAATATTTAACACTAAAAGATAATAAAGTTTGCAATAATGATAAGCAACAAGTAAATTTCACCCTGAAATTCATATCTCAAAGCTTCTATACTGCTGTAAGTTTTAGTTTAATCATATTCTTTATCATTTTTGCATTTCTGATAAACTAATTGACTTGTGACATTCCGTTTTTTCAATAACTATAAAAGAAAACATCTACTGATAAATTATTGAATATCAAATTCTAATTCACCTAGTTCAGTTACGCAAGCGGAATGAAATCTAGTTAGTTATGTCATTTTTTTATTACAACTGCAGTAAATGAGCCGAATTACAATTACAAATGATAAAGATTTGTGATTTCTTTGAAAATACCTTGTAGTATAAAGTGGTACGCCAAAAATACAAGTATATGAATTTACAAAAAGAATAATGGATTCAATTAGTTGATATATAATATGAAACAATTAAGATGTTATAAAATATGGTTTCTTGCATATTATGAGTGTTTGTATGACCAAATAGGTCCAAGATAAATCCTCAGTTTTATATAGGAGAATCATTATCTCCACATATGTATGAGCAGGTTTATATGGACCTGATGAGTTAAAAACAGTAAAAAGAGTGAGCACCAAATGTTGTGAGTAGCTTTTGTATTATATTTAATGATTATCAATGTGACAAATATATTTACAAGTAGAAGCTAATTTGACAATTCAAACAACATTTTACAATAAACAAGGAGAACCGTACAAATTCAATGGAATTTTGAAGGATGTGAATAATAACAAAGATTATTTACAAATTGGGTCCGAATTAACCATCTCCGCACAGCTTCCCTTCAGAGTGTCCAAAGGGACCACTGATATAAATTAAGTGAAGAACATGCATATATGATATATAATGCAGTCTAACGTTGTTTTAAGTAAAAACAATAGGCTATATATATCTAGACACGTTGGATTGATTTATATTTTTAATATTATGTGAGATGTTTATTCAAACTGAATGTCAATAGATGTTCGACAACTGATGTATGAGTGTACATCTAGCTAGAAAAAGCTTGACATTTTTGTAAAATTAGGACTAGTTAGGGAAATAAGTATAAATTCCATATTTATTGTTATCCTGAATCAGGTTATATGAGTAGGAGTTGAAGGAGCATTACTATTGACTCCTGGCTGTGAAGATACAAAGGATGAAACTTGCATATTCATACTAACATCATTATCCTCCTGTCGATTGTCAAAGATATCAGGTTTCAGTTTATACATGTAGACGATTTAATTGTTACCGCTTTTATAAATATGGAGGGATTTTACCTTACGTTCTATTACTCGGTGAGGATGTTCATACAGCTATTTTAGCGCCTGGTAAAAATAGATTTGCATGTACTTAGGTGTCAGATAATTTGTTTGCTACGAGTATATGTGCATGGGGAACTGGCTTCAATTATTTCCTTATTTGTAGTGACAGTTAGGAAAATCCTGTTGAGTCGCCATTCAGTTTATCATTCTCGTTAAGTAGTTGTCTGGGTCAAATTAGAGTTGTGCTATACATCAATTCAGCTGTCGAACACTATATATTTTTGTTAATACTAAATCAGATTCTCAAAGGAGCAAGCCGCAGTACATCACTGCATTTTATTGTATTCACCTGTGGCACAAACGAGTTTTTTAATTGGTGATTTAATCTTTTCACTAAACTGTTCATGTTAGTCTGTTTTAGTGGTATAATGTACTCCAAGAAGTCAACTTTAATCACGGAATAAAGCTACGAACTTTAGTTCATAGTTATCTTAGATAGAACACTGAATTCAGAAATTAAACAGTCACAAAATACATAAGCGTTTGTCTCTGCCAAGATACCGTTAGTGAGGAGTACTACTGCCTATATATTGAATCACTTCATTGCTATACATATATCTTTAGACGACTATCTTATAATGATAAATTTATAAAACACTGAGAGCGGCTGAAAATTATGTGACTTACTTTAATTATTAAATAAACAGATCATGAAAATCATTTTCTTTTAGCTTGAAAGTAATGGAATTACCATGTATTTAGTGATTTTACTTAACTTATGAATCCGTAATCATTTTCCAAACCTTACATATTTATCACAATGTGTAACAACGTAAATTACGTTTCCTTATAAATTTTATACCACGTAATCTCTAAATATAAGCATCAACTACAAAGTTATAATAAAGGTTGACAACTACTATCTTTACAAATGTGCATAATAAATCAAAAGTTCATATATAAATACTGATTAGTTGAGCAGTATCATATTAGTTATGTGACATATATTGTTACTTAGACAGTTAATACAGCATAATTATGTAGGCAAGTGAATCAATTACAGAATTCAGTTGATTTAGTGGCACAGATACATTTAACCTTCAAGTATTCTCTAACAAAAAAAAATACAGATCAACCATAATAAATCATTTGGTAGGAACATTTTTTTAAAATTTTCTCATTATTTTTTTTCAGACCTATAGATGACGTCAAAATATGTTTTTATCAATTCAATAGTTTAATTCAATCTTTTATTAAAATCATAATATTTAATAGTTGATCAACTACAAAACATAAATGGCTAATATCATATTGATATGCATGAGATGTAATTCTGTAAAAAAAATAACACTCTGGTTGCCAACTATGTGACCTAGAGAAAAATGTAATCATGTATACATAATTTTAAAAAATACTATAGATTTTACTCAACTGATTGAATAGATTTTGTAATTTTGTTGAAGACAAAAGAAACATTGACTCAGTTTACACAGTTTCTTTTTTATCTTCAATTGGTAATTTGTTGTGGAATAACTATTATCATCGTTTACACTTCATATTCCTTATGTTGTAAATTTTAAGAGAACATATAGTTAGTCATTCTTAATTATTTCTTAATAGATTGGTAAAATGTTGTAAGATTGTGATTTACTTGTAACACATTATATTTGTATTTATTTAATGTACTGTTTAGATTACTTCAAATGATCTGTTTACATTAATTTTGAAAAATCAATTCCTGAAATCTAATAATTATCACTTGACATCATTTAAACTTGAAGATTCAACAAATGCCAAGTTGGATAAATTTTTTATGCCAAGGAATTTAGTAAGTTTTTTTTTCTTTTTAATAAAAATATTATACTGTACAACTTGTTACCTTAGTTGATTATTCAATTGTATTAAGTTAGTAATCAAAAATGAGTTGAGTTTTATAGAAGTGTGGATATATTGTTCAAAACTAAAACTCTCAGTTTTATGGATATTTAACAAAATGTTTCATTTTCATACAAATCAGTATTTCTTGATTTGTATCTACGCGTAGAATTTAAATAAGGCATCACTTGTCATTTGACAACCATTTCAAATAAATGTCCTTTATTCATTTGTTTAATTAGCAAATTCAGTCTTTATTTAAGCCAAATAGATCAAAGAACAGGCTTTGATATGTACATTTTAGATAATGTACAACAAATCTTAAGAAGATAAAATCTTTCCTATTAATATATAAGTTTTTAGTTGAATAAATATCGTGCATTATGGTTTTACTAAACTATTACCCAACTATCGACATAAATCAATAAGGGCACGTACATTTTTCCAATATTTCTAAAACTAATATTTTTATGATTAAACATCAGTATATTCGAACTTGCAATGGTTAATACTGATCAGAGATAAATTCTGAATAGGAAAGCATTACCTTTCTGGAATACAGTTGTATCGTGGCTCCGATTTAATAATATTCACTTTATAACTACTTAATTTACAATGTAATGTACAAATATAAAGTACTCTAGCAAGCTACTTGTTTTAATGACATAATGTCATAATTTATTATCACAAAAAGGAAGTTTTTAATTACTGTTGTTCTAATAATGCAATTGGCGCTACTAATAGCTTAAATGAGCTATGAACTCAGATTATCGTCTTGCCAATCATGGGAAGAAACTGAATCAGCAAATGAGTAAGACTGACAAAACTACTTGAGCATTATCACTAAGATTGTATAGTCTGAAACTCCCACTATCAAACTATTATTATACATGAATTCAAAAATTAGAAAAATACTTTGTTGTACATAAGTAACATATTATGACACAAAATAAAAATAGTTGTGCTAAACGCATATTTTTTGAAACATAAATGGAATTAATCTTTTGTAATGAAGAATATTGTATGAAGTGAGATATGTTCACTCATTTGATACCACTGGTACAACTATTTAATTTTCTTTAAGGTGTAGCGTGAAAATCAACTCTGAAAGACAGGTACATTCGCCTAGCGGGTCCCAAAATAGGACGAAACGAGAGTCGTTAATTAACACACTTACCACAATCAAATTATCCTAAAACTTGCAAGACAAGCCTATTGGGAGGCAATTCGATTAGAATGTACTTGTTCAAGGGAAGATTGAGAGAATGTCTGGCCTGAAGGTCAACGACAAGATAAATCAAACCTTTACAATAAACATATCGTAGGTAATTATTGTCAGAGTTTAAATCATAGGCTGATATTAGCTAAACCACCACTTGTAGACTCAGAGTAGTGTACTGCCGTTTTGCCATAACGCGATATCCCTCAGAAGTGGATATCTATGATCCTGCATGTGCGAGTCGAGCTCAGCAACTTTGGTTTCGCGTGTGGACGCATTACCTCTAGATCACTGAGACGACATTCAGTATTGGATATCTACGATATTTTGTGACTATCATCGATTGCCTGTGGTGATTAACTGTCTCAAACTCAATGTTCACCTATAGTTGTAAGGATATATCGAAACAAATTTCTAGATATAACTAAGCGTTTATAGTCTCATTTAATAAGAAATCCTCACCAGGTGAGTATAATTTATTCAGTTCAACTTGTTAAACGTGTATATGACTAGAACAAGTATGGCTGTAACATGAGTTTTATGAGGGCTTTTATCATTGAAAATAGTGGTAATATAACGGTTATTGTAAAAACAATCAGTGGGTTTCTAAGAAATCACAGTAGTACGCTTGAATCCACTCTGTGATATTGTATCAGATATCTGAGTTTGTAACAAGTTCAGACTTACAGAATAATAAATTATGTAATGTTCGTTATAAATCATAATATTAAATACTAAAAATGCTTAAACATTCATCAAATAGTGATTTTTATGGTTACCTTAAGTATATTACCTTAAACAAGTTACCTGAACCGGAATTAATTAATTCTTATTGTTTTAATGTGAATAAAAGCATGCCACCTATGTAAAATTTATATGTGTACTTTAGTCTTTCACTTTTTAAATTTACATTATTGCCTATAAAATTGATCATAAGACAGTTGTGATAATTCATATAATGAATACTAGCTTTGTGACATTTTCCACTTAAAGTGATCATGTGATACAGAAAAAAATGGTTCTCAGTAGTTGTACATAAGTTAATGCATACTCTGTTAACTATTCATATCAACTGATATCATTACCAGGTTATGGTTGGTGATTTGAACCTGAAAGATTTTGTGAATTTTCTGAGGAATATATCTATCTATACAAAGAGGTAAAAACAAAATTGAAATGAATAAAAGTTAGTCAAATGAGTTAATTATAATGTATTGTTAAAAGATAGCAACTGAACAATCATTATTATGTAATTCTATGTTGGTCATTTTTAGGATTTCTATAAAACATATGAGACACAATCTATCATGGATCACAGTGTAAAGTGATTGGTAGATTGTCCCAAACAGAAAATAAGTCGAAATTAAAGAAATAAATGACTAATTTAAAGTTTACCGATTTTCGAACAGAATTGCAGAAGTGCCTTTGAATTCTTTTGATTTCAACTTAAAATTAATGACATTTTCGTCTTCAGTTTACGCAGTATTATTAACATGCTCGGAAACTATTGAGTTTCCGATTGCAATATGTCAATAATATCGGATTCATCTGCTTAGAATTAGATAAAAAAGTACTGTTTTTTGTATGTAGTTATTTTATTAACCAAATTCAGTTAAAGGAGCTTGTGTGTAAAACTTTGTATTTGATAACAATGCACAGTTTCATTTTATAAATTATTTCGACATTGATATTGGCAGGTCTTGAAAATGTGGATCATTAAATTGAGACTCAATGGTTTAAAGATATCCTATTATATACCATATGTAAGATAATTTACTCGTCATACTGAACTAGGTAGAGATTTATACTCAGACTTACTTAATTTTCAATAATCTACTGGCCATCGCTCATATATGATAAAGACTTTCAGATATCCTATCTCAACACTTATCTGTTTTCATCGCACTTATGGCTTTTTGTACCACTTAATTTATACCTTTGTTGTCATAGTACAACTTTGAGATAATTTATTGGAGTTTATATCAAATTAAGTTTTATACAATCCTACTATAAAATAGATATCCTAAAGCCTGAAACTAAACCAATAGTAAATAACTGAATGATTGAGCTACAGTCGAGAATTCACTTTAAAAGTTAACACGATACTACCATACTTTTTGTATAAGACGTATTAGAGGGAATACGACTGTGAATAAATTAATATGGACGAGGAAACTATAAAAAATGGTTGATACTTAAAAACGACAAAACTCTAACTAAAATTTATTTTCACATTAGTTAACTGTTAGCTGACACATCTATTCTTATTCATGATCTAGTTATAACAAAAATTTGATTTGTATCAAACATAGTGACTTTTCCCATTTTTATGTTATTAATATGAGCATGATAGGTATGGAAACTTGACTGATAACTTTTATGTAATGAAAAAATAATCTTGTTCAATCAGCAGATGGATAAAAATAGAGGGAATATATGCATTTGGAAATTTATGTGGGATTTTAAATGATCTGCTTATTCAAAAGTCAGGAGGCGTTTATTACAATGTTCTATTCTATCCTAATAATATAATCATGTTAATATCCTTAGTCAAGTATTATTTAGTAGAGATTAAACAAACGTTAAACTTTGATAATAATTCGAATTCATAGTCTAGAAGTAATGCATTGGTTTAAATGAATATGAAGTAATTTCGTAAAACAATAGGGGAATTACGTAATAATATATTCCTGTTATTTCGAAAAGGATAATGAACTGGAGAAAAAAATACTAAATATAGGAAGACAAGAATTTTACGTTGAAATAAGTTATGTAACAAATCAATAAGAACAAAATTTTGTATATAATCTTCCATCAGTATTTAGGAACATCACAAAATGGTTTTGATGGAGTTTTGTTCTCTGACTTGGATGGTTTGGTCATGGAGCTTTCATCGTTCTTCTGAACGACATCATCAACACAAAATTCAGACAGAAGTGAAGCGTTCGAATTTCTCCATAGTGTTTCACAGCTTGTCCCGTACACCTCGATGTTGATTGGTTGTTGTTGACCTTAAATTTGTCATTGTTTACTTCTTTGTTTTGGTTGTGTCTCCCATTGGTTTGGTTTTTCTTCCTATGTTTGAGCATAATTTTCCTGATTGGTTGATAAATTGGATCGATTTAAATGTTTACTGATTGCTAATTGACCTGAGTGGCAGGCTTCTAAAAATTCTTTGATGTTTTTTGGAATTTCCTCTACCAAAGATTTCCACATTTTTCCAGTCAAATGAGTGTCCGCAGTTGTCCACGTTTATTGATATAAGTGAGGAAATGTCATGGCATTTGATTGCTAATTGATGTTCATGCAGGCAAAGGTGAAGAGGGCGTCCGCTTTGTCCGATGTAGTGTTTTTCACAGTTGGCACAATTTATTTTGTAGAGGATGTTTGATTCGTCTTTTTTGTCATTTCTTCCTTTGATCTCCATAGGATTGATTGTAGTGATTTTGTCGGTTTGTGTGCCACACCTCTTCCGAAGTTTTTCAGCAGTCTCGTTGCGGTTTCTGATATGCCTTTTATGTATGGTAGGACGATCCTTTTGTTGATTCCTGTGCTTGAAATGGATTCTGTAGATGCGTGCGGCTGATATTTTTTGATGAAGTTGATTGGGTAGTCGTATTTTGAAATACGTCCTTTGGGTATTTCTCTTCATTTTTCCGTGCTGCCAAGGTGCTGCATTTTGTCCTCGCCCTCTTGATCAAAGTGTGTACGCAGTTGATTTTGTGAGCTCCTGGGTTGTTGCTATTGTATATAAGAATTTGATCTGCTATATTATTACTACTTTAAAAAGTTATCTTCATTTTAGATTCAGTATTGTATGCTGAGAGTAGGGTAATTCAACAAGATCAAAGTAATTTGATTTCAGTAAGATTATTTGCCTATAGTAACGTCGCTGACATTTAAGAGAATATGCTCAATGAACCTAGTCAGAGTTTATTTGGATAAACGGAAAAAATATATGTAAGATCATTCAAGAACAAATCACTTTATCATTAAATCCTCATGATAAATATTTACAAAGTTTATATTTGATAAATTTCATCAATTCTAATAACCAGAAGGGATTGTGTGGAGATTTTAGAAATTTCACTGGTTGAAATCATGAGTCAATTGAAGCTAGACTACCACGGAAAACATGGAAGCACTGGACGGCCGTTTCGTCCTAGTATGGGACTCCTCAGCAGTGCTCATCCACGATCCAGCTCCAGCGCTTCCAGGTTTTCCATGGTGGTCTAGCTTCAATCGACTCATGATTTCAACCAGTGAAAATTCTAATAACCCTAGAAATAGCTCTACTACTTTATTTTCAAGGTCGATGTTATCCAATTTACATAAAAATCATAATGTGTTTTTAATTTTATGTGCACTCATTTAATACACCTTTCTAATTCATTGTTCATCATTAAATATGAATGCATAAATTAACTAGAATTAATTCATTTAATCACATAGTAGTCTTTATTTAAGCGTTAAACTATTGATATCTATTACTATTAAAGAAATAAAAGCATATCGATGTCTCTTTAAAGATATCTAATTAAGAAGAAAACACCTACTATTGAATGAATTTAAGTGGATTTTCACTATTCAGCTATTATGTGTAGTTAGAGTATTGACAACAAATGTCATAAATGTTAAAGAATGGTAAAATTGTTTAATATATAGGATAGAATATATCTGAATTTAAATGTCGTTTGGAATATTTATAATTTAACAATATGAGTTCATTATATTCTTTGAATTTAATGTTTTTAAACTGTTCAAGTAGTAAGAATATTGATGAAAAAAGTCAAATACTTTGAATTAAGTTTATTTATATCATGAAGTCGTTAATGCGTTATATGTAGATACATCATTTATACATAATAAACTTGAGTTGATCTCTTGTAACAAGGTTAAACTTGTCCATTGTAAAGCACGATTGTAAGTTAAGTTTTATGTCAGCTACTGACATGTTAATTGACTGTAATTACGATTACCATAGCAACATTATAAAACGTTCTAGATCACGTTTCAATCTACTAGCAAAGCAATGTTTAAATAAAGTCATGCTAAACTTTCATTCCTAGTAGGAATGAAAACTTTTTAGAGTAAAAAATGAAATACGGTTATCATTCACTCCCTACAAGTCACAAACGCATTTTAAGTTCAGTGAAAGGAACTTTTTATTAAGACATTTTTTATCAATATTTTTTTTGTTTATTCCCATATAGTGTTTACCACTTATTCTTCATATGAAAGATGAGTCCAGTCAAACAAACACATTAAATCTTTTGACAAAACTAACTGCTGATACCAAAAGGTAAGTCTTTTAGATATTTTAAGGTGTTTATAATTATAGTTACATATTAGTTTCTAATTCTAAGAAAATGTTAAGTTATGTATATCTGCATGTACACTAATGGCGTCCACATTATCAAGTGCATTGTTAATAACTTAACGTAGTACAGAAAGATTAAAAAAGAGTGACAATACATGAACCCGGTTTTAATCACAATGAATAATTCAGTGCTGTAATTGAAGTAGTGGAAAAATGAAGATATTAACTAGCAGTTGATATTTTATTATAAGCGATAGTATACTTTCTGTTAATTATCAATAAAGTTGATTAGATTATTTATTTATAGTATTTGGTTTCAATCACAGCATAACAGAATTAGTTATGAATTCACTTCACATTGTTTACTTGAATCTTCCCATTGATGTTTAGGACTGCAATCGATCAGTATCTTGTAGACATATGTGCTTACTCTACGTATTGTCTCGATATTGCCTTCATTCACAAGCATGATAAGCAAAGATGAATAGTGGTAACAGTGGGATCTACGACGCGTGTTTCGTTCTATTTGGGACTCGTCACCTGGATGTACCTGCATCGCAGAGTTGATTTTCATTCTGTAAATTAAGGCAATATCAAGGCAATACGCACAGTAAGCGCATATGTCTATAAGGGACTGATCAATTGCAGTCCTAAACATCAATGGGAAGATTCAAGTGAACAATACGAAGTGAATTTAAACTTCACCTCATTGCACAAGCAAGTGGCTATCAGGCTCAGTAGCGAAGTGGACAATGCGATGGCATTTGAAGTGAATGGTATTGATTTCGAGTCTTGGAATGAACATCAACTCTGCAATGTACGTACATCCATCTGACGAGTCCCAGATAGGACGAAACGCGCATTCTAGATTCCCCTGCTGTTCACTATCCACCTTTGCTTACAAATAGTTATGGTTATGAATCACCAGTATGGGCATTAAATGTACTTGTTTAAATTCTAAAATAAGTTTATATAAGGTGTTTATGGTATAAACATTTTACTTGGCCTATTATTAATAGATATCTGTAATACATGACGTTTCAACGATTGAAAGTTTCCATTTTTAGTTGTTTTTTTATTTATGTTATACGATATGAAAAAATGTGCATAACTTCTGTTTGAATGTTATTTTAGAAAAACAAACTAGGGTCTGAATAAATTCATTATATTCAGATATATCTATTGTATACATGGTTAGATATATAGTAATTTTATGTATAAAATGATTTGTAATGATTCAAAAGGATAAAACTAGGATTATTAATACACTAAATGAGTGAGTTATATTTAATTTATTGTTTAGAAATTTTGCTTATAAAATAGTTTAATATATTGGCGAACTTTAATTCTCATCGAGTAAATTCAAACGACATATGTAAGAGAAGAATATTAATTTTTTAATTAAATCATCACTATTCATTTTCTAGTCAATCAATGGATAGTGCCCAACTAATTAACATATTTATGATCAGATTAGCGAGTATCTTCTTGCACGATTTGAACATTGTCATAGAAAATTCTTATTTAACTTGGATCTATTAAACTTCGTCGATAGTGTTCGTGCACTGTAAATATTTATAAGGTTCAAAACGGCGCATCTTATTTTTTCTAGTTCTACCAACTGAATTAGATCTCGTTTTTGCATATAACTGCAGGTATGGGAATTAGAACTAAAACCCTTGTTTTTGTGTCCATAAGACGTTCAAAATATCAGTGTTCATACATGTAATAGTCAACGCTATTACAATAAGTGTATTAGATACATTCGTGCTCTTTAATTTTATAAAGTAAACAAAGCTATCTTCTTTTAACTGCTTTACTAAATAGTGTATAAGCCCCAGTTTTGCCGACGAAGCCTTTTAATATTCACCCAGTGTTATTTACTTATAAAAACAATGTCGTTTTTATATCAAAAACGAAGTCTGAAAAACTGTATACCGGAATTCAATGTATGTCAAAAGTGAGATTATTTTTAAATAAATGGTTAACCAAAAAAATAGAATACACGGAAAACTAAATGAAAACAACTAATGTGAGAAATCACAAAAAAAACCGTGACATGACCACGGTAATGTAATTAGTGAAATGCTACTCCTTTGAAGTTGACAGTTTTTATTTATCTGAAAGTAGACTCCACATTGGACGATGAGAACTACGTCATTGTTTGATCTCAGGGTAGGAGAAACAAGAGTATACGAAAATTCAATTTCACACTTGGAAGAATTAAATTTTTGGGGACAGACCGTAACTTAATAACAAATGGTTAAACTGAGTATTTGCCATAGACGTAATAATATAGTAAAATTGTACTAAAATTTCTCGAATAATGTTAACGCTGAATAATTTAATGTTATATAATTACAACCTAATGAATATCGATTTGATTCTCGTAAGTTTTAATTTGAGATCGCATATCCTAAACAGTATTTTGATCTTCTTTCCATGATTAATGATAAATCTGTTACATTATATTTATTACTCATCAAAAGTTATGGAATGTATTTCATCATTTTCTCTAACTTGGAATTCCCTTGATTAGCGTAATATTTTTTATCCATGAATATAATTGTCATTGTATATTAGAGTAGTAGATTTGATAAAAAATCTCAGTGACAACAATGTTGTTGTCCTATGAGCACTATTCTAATTTGCCACTTAATTTCTTGTAATCTAAGCTTCTCTTAAAAAATCCCGGTTGATGTTCAGCAAACAGTTTTATATAGTTTACGTTTTCGAAATTATTACATTTGATAGCGTGTTGCTGCTCAGCTTCACATCCTTAAGACTATATTTTAGAGAAACAAGAGTAGCTTTCATATTAATGCGTCATGAGTTATTTTATCTCAACTGTCATTAATTCAAAGTACCACTAAATTAATAAACTTTTAGGAAAGAAAAGAGTGCTAAATGAAAGATTATATTTCGTTTTGTAATATATATATATATATATATATATATATATATATATATATATATATATATATACGTTAACATGGCAACATTAGGAGTTTTGTTTACTGCTTGCAAAAAAATAATCAGCTTTAACATCATCATCCGATCTAAGATTCAGTTTTGTTCATCTGATGTTTATTGATGCTAACTAGTGAATTAGTCTGTCAGTCAGCTACAACGTATGACCAGGCACATATTTGCATCGATCTAAGTTGCCATACCTTATTGACACAACAAGATGAACACCGGATTCATAGAAGTAGTTAATTCAGTGGTGGTAATATATAGAAGAAAGATTGTGTATAAGGAGATAGTACAGGAAGAAAGAATTACTTCCTAGAAAGAATGATTTGAAGTGATTTTAATCTCTTAGTTTAAAGGAAGACGGAGAGTGTATACACCAACGCCATTGTGATCGATTCTGAGACATGTCATCAAGAGTCTTCAACCATTGGTTACGATGGTCACGCGGACCCCAACCAGGCAGTCTGAATCTCCCAACATGGCTCAGACCAGAAGTTAGTGACTTCAAGCACTGATGCCACGTTTTGGTTTGGCCACCCCTGACTTTCTTCCAGCCATCCCTAACACTACTCAGCATTGCGCGTCGTGGTAATCGGTGTTCAGGAATACCTCTAACAGCACTCTAAGTAGTGAATAAAATTATTTGCAATTGATTCCATTTATATCTTAATCAATAAATCTACGTAACTCAGTGATTACTTAGTCTGTCATTTCATTTAACTATTGTTAATTGGTGATGCTTAGCTTGTTTTCATTTATTTATGCTAAATGGAATAACTTTTTACGATGTAAGCATATTTTTGTGTATATCTGTTTTCGCATGTGATGGAAGTAGCATTTGTTTAACTGTTCATTTGTGCATGTATCTGTAGTAAAGTGATAATATTTATGCCAATATCAGTGCACTGAAACACAATCGCTATTACACAAGTGACACATTACAGAAATTTATCACTCTAGTTTACGCACATACGAATAACTTAAATAATATTAATTTGATCATATTTATTCTGATTACAAATATTCTTTTATTTACTGTGTAAATAGAAAAACAGAATGGTTTAAGTAAAATCATATATGGTTTATGAAAAAGAACTAATTACCTTCATTAGTAAACATTTTAAAATGAGCTTTAGTGAATCTATAAAATGAGCTTGTTTCGTGTGTATGTCAAACTGCATAAACATATTCAGATCATTCTATTGTTCAAAGTTGTTAAATACTAAATTTAGAATCAAAATGCAAAACGTTCCTATACTGATTAGTGAGGGAGTGATGTTGATTTATTATCATTGACATGCATGCTTGTTTGAGAAAATGATCAAAGTTGAGGCTTAGGCATCAAAGTTCCGAATCCAGCTGTGTAAAGTCAACATGTAAATTGAATCTCATTAGAGAAAATAAGATAATGATGTGCACAAAAGGCCATATAACTACTGGGTTTTTCTCTATTTCAGACAGAATGTATATAATTTGATCAATCATACCTAATTACTGTCATTATTACCACCCTTATTTTTCACCTTTCTTATAATTAATAAGTAGATTACTATCTTTCACACGTTCAGTTTCATTTTATTTTATTTTTCTAACTTTTCAATTGATATGCAACCTACTTCTGACATTTGAAACTGTATAATCTTCACTTTTGACGCTTAATATGTTCAACTCTAACATGGTAGGTCTCTGACAGATGCAGAAAATAATACAAGTGCATTTTTCACTTCAAAACCATAACTTTTATTTACAGTACTAAAAACGCGTGAATTTCTTAAAACTTATAACATAAACATCAGCTTTACCTTGCTTTCCAGTGGACTTCACGATCAAAGGTGCACAACCTGACTTCTGTATACAGAACTTATTTTTACATTAAAAGTATCAGGATAAAGAGAGTTATCTATCAGATGTTTACTGTATTAGAACTAGAATTTTCAGTTATTTAACCATTTATGCGTATGTAATCGACATTATCAAACTTTGACTTTATATTTTCAAACCAACTGAGCATTGGGTAGACTGTTATTAATACAAATAATATATTTGTAATATCTCAATCAGTAGAAAAATTACAATTTGTGGTGTTTCATGACTCAATGTCAAAACTTGTTCGGAAAATAAACCCAAGTTTAAATAGTACAAAGGAACAAAACGGAAATATGTAGTTATCAATATAGGGTTGTTGAGATTGTTTAGTTTTTATTGAGATCACAAGCGGATCAATGTTAGACCGCCTGGAAGCACTGGACGGCCGTTTCGTCTCAGTGTAGGACTCCTCAGCAGTGCGCATCCATTTAGTACACTCAATCGAAAAGCAGATCTGATCAAGTCAATGTGGTCAAAGTGTGTGTTATTAAGTGAAAAGTGTGATATTTTTAATATGAAATAATAGACTATGAATTTCTGTAGAACCAAATTTTAATAATGTACTAACTTATATAATCAAATGGTGGCATATCAAGTAAGTAATGTGAATAGACTACTTATTCCAGGATCTGAAGATAATAAACGAAAATAGTAAATGTCAGCATTCTTTCTGTTGTAATGTTATTAATACACATTATATTACAATTTAGAATGTTTTCTACAGTTGAGTTATAAAGTATACGACAAACTCACTTTGACATTAAGTGTTGTATGTGTGGCAACATTTTGCCGGTAATCTCTATAATTGACAATAATAGTAAATTTAGATGACATAAGCAAAATTTTATGTTCCTAATAAAACTCGAGTAATCAGAGTCCTTTATGTCTTACGTTAGATTAGTAAAGACAATCAAAGGGAAGCCACAAACCTGGGCTTCTCGTAAGACATCTTTTAATAAAGTTTACCTACAATCTTATCATCACCTGTTCATTCGGAGCTGTCGACATTTGAGTTATTTAAAAAACCACTGTCCTTTAGCAAAATTGAGATTTCTACAGACTAATTATTAGTTTATCCATAATTAATGTCATACTCTATAGATCTTACTGATGTTTATTTTTATAGAGTCATCATCGAATATGTTTATAAACCTATCAGTAGCTCTAATTTCATCTCTATGCAAATCCTATTGAATTTTGAAACAAGTTACCTAATATTGCAAGAGATCGCAAAAGAAACACATAATATTCAATATGCTGAAAAAGAGATAACATATATTCCTGAACAGATATGTAAAATGAAATTCAGTTGGTACAATAACACACTAAAGGTAAGTGACTTAGCCAATTTCAATTTCCGTTTAATTGATCGTTTTAGGTGATCACCTTTGTAATTAAAAATAAATATAACAACAATGGTTGAGATATAAGTTATAACTTCTAACGTTCAAAGTGTTTCATCAAATTATTCAAACTTTTTCTATTAAAGTTAACTTCATGTTTATGAGCTCAGTAATTGATGAGTTTGTGATACCTACATTTTCAAAAATTATCAACTGAGAATCCCTATTTTTCTTCAGAAATAGACTTTAGAATCGAAATCTCACATGTAGTACTTAGATTTCAAACACTAGTATATGCAAATCTAATTAATTGATATTTGTAGCACAAAATGTCTAAAATTACTCTTTTGTTAGTACAGTATGTGTTTTTATCTCTACTCGAAAAGATTGTCAAAGAAGAATCTTGTTCTAGTTTTAGTATATCATCGTTTTTAGGACATGTATTTATGAACAAATTATGCGAATTGAATTATGAATTACTGTAGTTAGGCTTTCCGCATTTCGAAAGAAATGTACCTCGATTGAATCATACTGTCATCATTATTAATTTAGGTTGCATATTATTACTATTAATAATGTGAACAAATACTTAGGTGGGGACAACCAATTCGTTTGTGGACATAAGTAGCATACACCACACTTTTAGTAATATTGTACGGTTATTATCTTGAATAAATTTCATTTCTACCATTTATGGAAATCAAATGTTTTACTTTGATAACAGATCTTTCTGAGGAAATTAATTATTTTCATTATGATACATACCTTTTCAGTGATGACCTGAGAGATATTTAGAGCTTTACTGAAGTTTTTCATGTGTATTGATAAGAAATTAGACTGTTATTTAGTCCTACTTTTCGTCCATAGAAATTTCTACATGTTCCATAAGCTAAAACAGTCAAGAGATGTCTTATTGAAAAATGAGTCAATCTCCTATTTTGAGTTGTACTGATAATGAATCTGGTTTGACATTATTGATTCTATTAACTTGACTTAATTTTTTAAAATCAACACTGTAGACTTTTTTTCTATTATTATCTTTACTGTTAGGTACTTCTTAATAGTGATGAATCAATGATGTACAATTTTGGAAAGTATTATTCTCTTCAATTCTTATCACATATTCGAATCAATGGAGATTTTATGCTTTTAAATGCAGAACTTCAATCGGATGAATAATATAATTTATCTAGCCATGGTATTTACAATACATGTATGTCTCCTAGCATAAATGAATGCAAATGCGATATATATATATACATAAATAATGGATGATTCGTGACGTTTTAACCATGACTGATACAACTAACATCGTAAAAAAATAAAGTGTATTTTCCTTACCAATTAATTACTCTATTCTACTTTCTTTTCTTTTAGAATATTTCAAAATAAAATTTGTTAAACATTATTTTATAGTTGAAGTATTCTCTTATTGATGTGTGTTAATTGATATACAAATGTGTCTTATTTATTATTCTTCATTATTATTATTACTTTTAATGACAACACACTCAAATCCTTAATTTCTAGAAGGTTCCTGTTTTCCTTTTTCATACAAATTGATATAATTTTTCATTAATAATTTATTCAGTAAATTTATTGATTATAAATTTATATCTTGAATATTTATTGATTTATCATATTATTCAATCTATACTGTGATTGATTTAAAAGAAATATTGTAAAAGATCTGCTCATTATTCTATCGTATTAATAGTTGACCGGTATTACCTATACATTTTAATATTTGTATTCATTCGATAAATAAAGTAAACAAAAGTATTTAGATCATAATAATAATAATGAGCTTTATTTAGTATAGTTTAAATGTTTTCGTTTATTTTATTATTATAGTTGTAGGTAAATTTTTTAAAAAAACAACGTGTTGTTTTCCTTTGATTTACTTCACTTTCTAGTGTTAATGATTTAAATTTCCTTTTATTTATTGTTATCCACTTTAAATTTCAACTTATGGTTGTTTTCATTTCTACCATTTGTGAAATGAGTAAATTACATTTTACACATTTAAAAATACAATAATAGAATGTGAAGAGCAAACACAGTAGTTGTTATGCAAAAACGAAAATAAATTTTTAAAAGAAATGATAATAATGAGTGCTTAGATATAATTTGGAAAGAATGCTTTTGGGACAGTTAGCAAACATGATAAGATAATATTTCTAAATATTCTCTTTTAACTACTAATATTAAAGGCTGGTAATATTTAATTTGATATATACAAGATTATATTGAACAGTTAATATGTCTGTATGGATAATTAATATCGGTATGAAATTGGTTTGTGTTGAATTACTATTTCTGTGTTGATTAATTCATGTTGATGTATTATACTCAGTTAGTAATTATATTGTAGCACTTCTTTTTCTATTGTATTTTATTCGAAAATAAAAACAATTCATAAAATATACTTATAGATAGAATCATTAATGTATTTCTTTTCATTTTTAATCATTAAAAGAAAAGATTTACACATTAAGTGAAATATCTTGATGAGAAATGATGATTATAAATTTATTAGTTGATCTATGAAAATATTCAATGTTGGAAGTGATCTAGAATATACAAATTACTTTATGTAATTATTAATTCACAAATTGATATGACGATAGATCATTAGATTCTTCATTTCTTGATGTTGTTTGATATTAATGCTATCCAAACAGAAATAATATTTAATCGGACCAAGTGAAGTTATAAAAAATAACATGCTACGAATGATCATGAATATATTATGTTAAAGTACTTGATGATCATTATAAAAATGATTTTATTGACAAATATCATAGGGATAGAAATAAGAACTTCGAGTGAAATTATTTATTTACATGAATTTAAATTATATTTTGGTAAACAAATAAACCATTTGTTGAAATTGTATTTGACAGGAATATCTTTTTGTAGAATGTTTCATAAAATACAGAAATTATAAGTTGTATGGATGAGTGGTATGGAATTGTACATATATTTTTCTCCACAATTTCACTTTGTTCTGACAAAGATTCTACTTGTAGTCTCTCTATTTTTGAAGTAACTCAGTAATAAAGTTTTAATTCCTGTCCTGTTTTAAAGTCTAAAATATGTAAATCGGTGCAAGATATGTCTAACTGAAGGTGAGATTTATTAGTAAATTTTGGATGTCATGGTATATCTGCGTGGCAATTCTTGCCTAATAATATAATGGTTCTTTGAGTCATCTTATCTAAGAAATGTTGTAACTGATTATTTATTAGAATTTGTTTGATAAAGTGAATGTTTTATGATTGTCATAAAACTAATCTATGTCTTTGCAAACAGTTATTCAACATCCCATATTTTGATTTAAAATGCATTAAAACTTTAATGGAGTTGTGTTAATTTCTGAAACTGTTCTAATAAATAAAAAAAATTTTTATTCACAAACTAAACATTTCCTGACATGAATCAGATCGGCAGGAAGTATTTCTATGATAAACAAATGATAAAAACTAATAATGACAAATAAAAATTTCTAATAAGATATAATTCTGAAACACATTGTATTCAAGTACAAACGGAAGTAAATTACAGTAAATAGCTTACATGTAAACAAGCATTAAATACTTATGTGTATCGAATACATTATTTAATTTTCATGTATCTGACATATATCCCTATAAGAAATAGCACCTACATTGTGGTGAGCATGATCAAACAAATCATTCTACATTAATGAATCTACAAAGCCATACCTCGTTTATTCAGCATTATCAATCAAGTATCATTTCAATTTCAAATTGACTTCGGAGGTTACCTATATTTCAATTAAAACTGTAAGAAACCTATTTCGACATAAGCCATTATTAGGACAAACTTATAAGTCATTGAAATATTTGTGATTTTACAATTACTTTTGATAAAACGAGCAACAATTCTATTGGTACCCTTACTGCATAAATAAAAAAGTATATTAAATATTAATGTATAAATTTCGTAATCCTATGTCAACAAATATGAAGTGAATACGCTTTCGAAATATACATTTTAGGTTAAAGAGAAGATCAAAAGTAGAAGCGTATTCAATTTTAAAATAAAAAGTAAATTATCGTAACATTTTGATCGTGCTTTACAAATAACACTATGCTTTCCTTCATACTGTTAAAGAAAACAGTAATTTAACAAATTACTTTCTGTAATATAAGATTATTTAAATAACAAACAATAAATAGTATTGAAACTATTCAATTGTGTTTTATTTAGAATTCACTGAAACAATGAAATAGTTAACGATTCTAATTCGAATCTCGCGGGGGGCGCAATCGTCGATGCACACTGCTGAGGAATCCCATCATAGGACGAAACGGCCGTTCAGTGCCTCCAGGTTTTCCATGGTGGTCTAGATTCAATTGACTCATGATCTCAACAATTGAAATTACTATAATGTCCACAAAACCCTTCTGATATGAATCAACATATAGTCACTAATGACTGGTTACAAGAGGTATTTCCTGGAGCTCTAGTGAGAAGCAGTGACCAGTGAAATTCAACCAGGTCTGTTATGAAATAGTAACTCATTAAAGACAATGGTGATTGTGTCGCTCGATTTCGTGTGTTGTTTGAAGTTAGACATGAACATCGTTGAATACCGACCGGCTCAGTGGTCTAGTAGTTAAGTGTTCGCGCTCAAGACTGATGGGTCCTGAGTTCGAATCTCGCGGGGAGGGCGAGGTCGTGGATGCGCATTGGTGAGTAGTTCCATAATAGGACGAAACGGCTGTTTAGTGCTTTCAGGTTTTCTATGGTGGTCTAGCTTCAATTGACTCATGACCTCAACCATTGAAATTCTAATAGACTTTACAACTTCATAAATCAATATCTTGAATAAAATCAACTAATTAATTATTTTATTTATTAATTTTCATTATATTACTGCCAAATGAATAAGATGTAGACAAATATGCCTTTTGTTTTATGTATATATTTAAATATATAGGCGCCATATATTGGTTAATATTGTGTACAATCTGAACTAATTCATTTATCTTTATTTTGTCAGTTTTCATTGTGTTGTTTTCATTTTTGTTTTGTATATATAAAATATAAAAGTGTAACTATGCACTTTTGTATAAAAAAGGTGTTATAACACTATAAATCATAAAAGTACATTATTATATGATTGTAGAGAAAAAGTATTAAAAGAAAGAAAGGAAAAACTGCCAATCATCAAATAAGTTTGATTACACTTAATTGTGTGAATATTCTAAGAATATTTCTAATCAAAATGGGGGATATAAATAATTGTGGAACAAAAACGAAAAATGTAAATATTTCTTGTTGTTGTGGTAAATAGAAATTTTAAATTAGATATCGTTTATAACAACTCAGTTATTATAATATATCAAGAGAAATAATTAAAGAATTACAAATATCAATCATTTTTACAGACTTTATTTAATTTCCTTTAAGAGAACTCATTTACGTTTTTGATTTGATACTTTTAAATCTTTTCATTTTATGTATTCGAATTAACAACAAGAAAGACAATCATGATGATAATTACTTATTACTGATTACCAGGATTATATAGCATGATTTATATAAGTGAAATAATACCTTTGTAATATCTCAATCAGTAGGAAAATTAGATTTTCTGACGTTTCGTGACTCAATGTAAGACAGTTCTTCAGTAAACAAACCAAGTGACTTACACTTAGTCACGAAACGTCAGAAAATCTAATTTTTCTATTCAGTGGGATATTACATTTTTCCCCATGTCATTAATCTTCATACTGATGTAAACATATCATATCAAAATGTTAAACAAATATTACTTCAAATTTATCAAATCATGCTCCCTAGTATTTTCTTAATTTTATTGAATTTCTTGATACTGTTTGTTGAATCAGATAAGAAATTCTTTGAATTAATGAATTATATGCAAATGCATATCTTTCTTGACCGTCTAACAGAGTGTAAACCTAGGAATAGATAACGAACATATAGTAATATGATGTAGTAAGTGGTTAAGCTTAAGGCACAAATCTGTTCTGATTTTTTGGATCATAGTTTTTATATCAATGAATTTAGAGGAGTCTCACAATAAGACAAAACGGCCGTCCAGTGCTTTCAGGTTTTCCATGGTAGTCTAGCTTCAGTTGACTCATGATCTCAACCATTAAAATTAAGATTTCTTAGGTAGTTTGTAAGTTAGTCGTTATATGAATACATAGAAACATTCGAAACTGCAACTAATATTAATAGCAAAAAACGTTGATTTTTTAAAAAAACAAGAGCCATGGAATCGACATTTTAACTTCAGCAATTAGTCTATTAAATATAATTATTTATTATCACATATACAAATAAGGATTAATGGTAAAATTATTATTTATAGACCTTATTAAAACACAACTCAGAAGTTCAATCTTGAACATAAGCATATCATCGTTCGTTGATGGCTATACTGATTATCTTAATATCGTCGAAGATAACATACTAATTCTTTCAAGTTAAGTTTATTTAGATGAAAAGAACTGCTACACCATATTTCAACTTGATGAAATATTATATTATTTTGAATCGTTCCGAAGCCATATCTTCGATAGGACTTAAATAGGAATATGTGATCTACATTCACTACAGTTTTTGAAATTAGTTTATGAATAGTAAAATATATATTGAAATTCTATTTATCCCTCCAAACCATACATATTTACTTGATATTCTTATGAGCTGTTGAAAAGCTCAATCATCATGGAAAAATTTAAACATTATTATCAAATTTTAATTATTATTCATCTCAATCTGATTCAAAAACACCAGATCCAATGGAAGATAAAGAACAAAATTTCATATTTCTAAGTAAGAAACAAGTTATAACACATTATCTACGTACATCAAGCAATATTGTAGTTGATATGTAAGAGAAACTATCCACATAAGAAAGAAAACAATCGTGGCTAGGATAGTACAATAGGATTTTCTTTGAAACCCATTTCAAGCGAGAGATTTTACTGGATTAATAATTCTAAACAGTACATTACGATATAGATATTTTATTGTTGCATCAATACATATTTCACTAAATGAAATTTTTAAGGATTATTTCGTCAAACTATTTACTTTAAATCAGCTTAAATTTTACTTAACTGTTGATAATTCCACCTGTTTAGCTCTGTGATCACATTTTCATTATTTACATCATACTTCTATTTTCAATACTAGTGTAATCCTAGGTGTTTGTTATTTGCGGTCGTAATAAATAACTATTTTGAGATGATGGAGAACAACTATAGATCAAAATAATGATTCTGTAGGTGTTAGGTTTTCTGATCTGGATGCTTAAACTGTGAAGCTTCCATCGTTCTTCTGGATAACATCGTCAACATATACTGCAAAGATAGGTAAGTTATAAAAATTTCTTCACAATTAACTAACAACTTGTACTATTGACCTTGGATCCAGTAGCTTGA